AGAAGCCCGTTTCCTTCTTGGTCAAGGCAGATTAGAACCTGGAAAACTGAGAAACGGTTGAGTTTTTTTTAGACTCTAAAAGAATACTGAAGTTTTCCTGCATTTCTTTGGTTGAAATTGGCTTTGGTTTTGCTCTTAACTTTCATAGTTAGTTAGATTTGTTTAAACTTTTAAAGTATTTCTGGTGTCAGGCTACAAATGGTCTAAGGAAGTTTGGACTTTGCTGTGTTTGGTCTACTGGTTCACTCAAGCTGTTGCTACTGTTGAAATCTCCATTTTTCTTTTGGTTTGCTTTGATATTCAGGTACATCTTTGGACCTTATTGATATGTGAAGCTTGGGTTTGAAGCATGTTGAAGATGTAAACCTTAGTTGGCTAAATATCAAGTTGTGTTACTGAGAACTCATCCATATTCCACAATAAATTGTGTTTTTATTACGTTACTCATTGTATTTATTCATGCCATGGACATTATAATTTGTATTGGGGTTGTAGTTGGACTTTTGTTTGTTATTTTGGTTTCAGCCTGTTTTAAACTATTTCTGCCGCGTTTTGGGGTGTTTGTACTATCATGTTATGGGTTCAATTAGGATAAGTAACACTACTTTGGGTTTTGACTAAGTTGGTTCAATTTTAGTAATGTTGAGTTCCAGATTGATCTTCATTAATGATTTTGCTGTTGAGAATTTCTTTTTTAATTGAATAAACTCAAGAGCTATTGGGTCATTGTAATACTTGATGTTTAGAGTATCTACCGTAAGAATCACTATGTAGGAAATCATGACAGTAATTTCAGTGTTCAAGTGATGGGGCTTGTAGTGCATTAATCATATCATATTTCAATTTTCTGCATGTTTGCATCTCAATTAGGTAATGCATTTCCTGCTTATTTTGCTGAAATTGTTTAAGCTTAATGGTACTTGAGCCACTGAAGGGCAGTTTAGAGCCAAAGGCCCTTGGATTTCGAGTGTTTATTTGTTCTGTAGGGACTCGATCTTGAGTCCCATGCCCTTTAGCGTTCATCCCTTCACCAAGGTTTGTCTACTTTGGGCCTAAACTTGAGGCCCCCTTGTGAATGGGGAATGGTATGCCTTATCATGTTTGGGCCTGTTTTTTTTTTCGAGCTCAGCTCCTCATTTAACTGCCACTGCTGGCCCAAGCCATCTTCAAGTAATCAAACCCGTTTTATTTGACGCGATTCCATTATTTATTAGGTATAGTTTGAACGTTAGCTTAAAATAAATTCGAATTCCTTTAGTCTTCTTTAATTAATTAGACTCTTTTAATTAGATTGTGGTGTGCCATATCAAAAAAATCAATAGTTTATGGCCCTCATGAGACTAAATTAAGAAATCATTTTAGGAAAAGTAATTTGAGGCGCGCCATGTCAAATAAGATCCCTAAGCCCATGGCCCTCACAAAACTAATTAGTTTTTCTATAGAAAATTCGAGGTGTGCCACTTTTATTAAGTAACCCATGGCCCTTATGTAATTAATACTAACTCTTTTAAAATCGAGGTGTGCCATCAATTGAATTTTCCATGGCCCTCACAAACTTTGTTATTAATTTGAACTTTTCGTAGTTGCTTTAGGCGCGTTCTTTAAATTGATTTTCCTTTAATTATTAATTCGGGTGTACATTTCATGTAACCCAATTTCAATTCTTAACCATGTTAAATAGAACGTGTCACGAACCGCGGGTGCATTTCATGTGGCGTGGTTCAAGGCATGTTTTAAATAACGTTGAATCTTCCTAAAATAATTAGAAGTGGTTAATAAGTTAAAAATGCACCATAGGCTAAAACATGTAATAAATCGGATAATAGGCCAATTTTAATAGTTTAAGCGATTGTGCTAGAACCACGGAACCCAGAAATGCCTAACACCTTCTCCCGGGTTAACAAAATTCTTTACTTAGAATTTCTGGTTCGCAGACTTTAAAATGAAAGTTTAATTTCCTCGATTTGGGATTTTAAAATAAACCGGTGACTTGGAACACCAATTAAACTATTCCAAGTGGCGACTCTGAATTGAATGAATAATCTCATTTCGAATAATGTCACTTAAAGTGGAAAAACTCCCTTATCCACTCTCGGGTGGTAAAAAGGAGGTGTGACAAACGAGTATTTTTGCTTTCCTTTTTACAAGTTCCTGGGAAGTGTCGTCGCTCCTCCACTATCGTGGTAATACCCTGCGGCCTGTTTGCTTAGTTCTTGCTGGCCGCCTTCCCTATTCGGGACTGAACTTGAATTCGGTTGCTCGTCAGTTCTCGGCGGTGATTTTTGTTGAGTGACTTGGCTTTTTTCCTTCGGAGCTGGTGGCCATCCTCTGCCCTGCTGCCGCACTTGTTATACAGTTCTATTCCTCTGAGAGGGATTCTGCTGAATAGGTCTGGGCCATCTGGTGTCCCTGGTTTCGCTGATGGTGAACACGATGTCTGATATAATGATGTTGAAATTGTATCTTGATGAGCAAGGCACCCTCGCTGGCATTGTGTCCCCATCGAATATGACTCTATTAACGATTCCTCGAGGATATTGTCCTCGATCCATTCTCCGATCGTTGCTAGGTAGATTGCATCTCGGGGTGCTCCTCTTATCTGCGGTGTATGGGCAGTATCTTTCTCTTTTTGGCGTTGGTTTCTTTGCTAGGAGCCTATTTGGGCACACTGAGTCCGGGGGGGCTCTTGGATGGTCATCCACGACCCTGGTTTACGACTGGTACCGGATGTGGGTGTCCAATCGGATCTCGGCTGGGTACCCGATCAAGTTTTGTTTTAACTGCCTTGAAATCATCGGGCTTGGTTTGTTTAGGCTTTGAGTGAAGGCCTGTACCGCCCAGTCATCTGAGACCTGGGGTAATCCCGTTCGTTCCACCTGGGGATGAGATGCGAATTCTTGCAGCATTTCGTTCTCCCTTTGCTCGGTCCTGGATGTGTCGGGCATTCTAGCCGTTGCTTTGATGGCACCGACGTGTGCCTTTATGGAGGATTCTGTCGGTATGGTAAGTGAGTTTATGGAGTTGGGCGCTAGGCTATGATGCCACATCATTGCCCCTTTTGAGAGTGTTTCCCCAAACCTCTTCAATAAGACGGACTCGATCTCGTCGTCTTTTAGGTCATTGCCTTTTACCATGCACGTATAGGCAGTGATGTGTTCGTTGGGATCTGAAGTCCCGCTGTACTGAGGGAATTTCCGGTGTTCTAAACTTCTTTGGAATGGGTTTCGGAGCCGCTTCCTCTAGGAACGGCTGTTGCACAAACTTCCTCGAATCTACACCTTTCAAGGCCGGAGGCGCACCCAGGATTTGGTCGACTCTGAAGTTGTAAGTTTCGACCTTCTTATCGTTGGCTGCTATCATTTTCTCGCCTGACTCGATCCTTTTAGTAATGTCCTCCAGCATTTTCACGATGGCAGGATCGACCACTAATCCGTCGTTGCTTGAGCTCTACGGTACCCATTCAGTTGGGGGAGTAGTTTCGGTGCTACTGTGCTGGGAGTCTTCAGGTGGCTTTGCAACTGAGCGATAGCCAACTGTTGTGCCTACAACATTTCAAAAATATCGTGAAAACTGACTTCCTGTGCTTCCCGAGCTGGGGTCTTTTGGGCTTCTTGTTGGTCGCCATGTTGTATGTTTCCGTCAGTATGTGAGGTTTCGTCGACCTGCTGCGCGTCTTGCGAACCCGCATCCGCTGGAATCGGTCTGGGTGCGTTATCGGGGTTCTGCGGTGGCGCGCCAACGACTGGAACAACCACACTGTTTTCGCCGTGATTTTTGAGGCAGTCGTTCTCAACCCTGTTTACCGAGCCAGATATTTCGACCTGAAATCAAGAGATCTTGGACAAGAAAAAGTGTGAAAGATAACTTGCGTTTGTGTAATGAAACCAACAAGAAAATAATCACTATTATTTTTAGCTCCACGGTGGGCGCCAAACTGTTTACCGTGAAAATGGTAACAACAATTAAATTTGTAAATGAGACTCTAAAAATATGTGATCTATTTTTATGCTAGTTGTTAGAGCAGTTGATGCTAGGAGTATGAAGTTTTAACGAAGAGATACAAGCTGAAACGAGACAGTAATCAAACCGAGGGGCTTGCTGCTCGGGCTTCGGACTGGTCGATGGAGGGGCCTAGGGGTCAATATCCGGCTCGAGCTCGAGCTATCGGGGGTAACCGAGAGAGGGATAACAGTTAAATTATAATTAAAAAAGGCTCTTTATGGCCAATATCAAGCAATAAATGAAGAACAAGTATGAAAACAATAAATGCTAAGAATAGTCTCGAGCGAGTAAGAGCGAGTAAGTTAGAGAGAAGAAAGAGAGAGAGATATTATTGATCTTGTGGAGAATAGTTGGAGCAACATTAGCCCCTTACAAAGTGGCGTGGATCCCCTTTATATAGGTGGGGGAATACAACATAGTACAGAATGCATTAAGTGTAAAGACACGGGGATGGGACGACTAGGTATGATACAAGACCTTTGCTGATGCTAGTTGCTTGCCTCGGGAGTTCCCCACCCTCGGAATCTTTGTTGGGTCGTGAGCAAACCTTGGGGGAGGGAGCTTGATCGTAACCCTGCAGCCTCGAGATACCAATATGACTCCCTGAACGCACCTTAGTGGCGAGAAATCGGTCCCTCTGATTTCACCGTATACATTAATATTTGAGTCATAGTTACTGATTCGAAAACTAATTTAAAAGTTTGAGGAATCTTTTTTAAAAATTAAATAGTAATTTTGAGAACTTATTGGAATTGAATATTAAATTTTAGCCTATTATTTTTGGGCTAGTTGATTGTAAATTGAAATATGGATTGTAAAATTAAAAAGTATGGAGCCAAGTTATTCAAATGTGAAATTTTTCCGATATATAAAACAAAATTTCTTACTTATTCATTTTGCTGGAATCTTTTAATTGTATCTTTTTTACCGAGGTACATTTTTGGGGTTAATTGGAGTTAACAAAAAGAAAAAAAATTGAGCCAAATAAGCAACTAGGGTTTATCAAAACCGAAAACGAAAAATCCCTCCATTTCTTTTATCTACCACTCAGCCCCCGGAGAATAATAACATTCCCACAATGTCCGTCGACGATTCCACGCCGCAGGTGGACAAAATCTCCCTAAGTGACGGCGTTGAGGAGGCTCAATTCTCCCAACGCGTTCCTATCCGTTCAATTCTTGGCCGTCCTGACGGCGGAGCTGGACTCGCCGGAAAAGTTGTGAAAATTGGGGGTTGGGTTAAAACCGGTAGGGAACAGGGAAAGNGTCCTGACGGTGGAGCTGGACTCGCCGGAAAAGTTGTGAAAATTGGGGGTTGGGTTAAAACCGGTAGAGAACAGGGAAAAGGTTCTTTTGCCTTCCTGGAAGTGAATGATGGATCATGCCCTGCAAATCTACAGGTAATTGTGGATAGTGCTGTGTATAAACTTGGAGATTTGGTACCTACTGGCACTTGTGTGCACGTCGAAGGTGAGCTGAAGTTACCTCCTGAAGGTGCAAAGCAAAAAGTTGAGCTTCGTGTCCAGAAGGTTCTGTCTGTTGGTACCGTTGATGCTGGCAAGTATCCATTGCCCAAGACTAAATTAACTCTTGAGTTTCTTAGAGATGTTGTTCATCTGCGGCCTCGAACTAATACTGTAATGATCTCTTTTGTCTCTTGATTTATGTTTCTCCATCTGTCCCATTTTAGGTTATGTTGTTGGACTGGGCATGAATTTTATGAGAAGACTTTTGAAATTTGTGGTCTAGAATAAGTCATATTTGTGACTATAAATTTTTTAATTAACGGTAGATGACAAGTTTAAAGTTAAATTATTTCTAAATATATATCATTTTTTGGGACAAACTAATAATTAAAGTGCATCACATAAATTGTGATAGAGGGAGTAGGACTTTCTGTTTACTCTGCGAATAGTGAATTAGTCAATGCCCTAATGTGGAATAAAAATACTTGTATTGGCACTACACCATGTCCATTCAATAAGAAATGATTTAATTTTTAGTTGCGCTTCTGTGATACCTTCTGGTAAATTACATGTTCACGTTTTATACTTGCACTTCTTTTATTGAGCTGGAAATGCAGGGATCAAGGGATATTCATGTTAGGGGACCTTGTTTTTCTTAATAGATGTTTTGTGAAACTTCCTTATTTGCTCTTTGATTTCCAAATATTTTTGAGTTTCATACCCAGCTTGTTTTTTTGCTTATGTTTCTATATAAACGGAATAACGACGAATTATTTGGAAGTGAGGTAGGATTGATTGATGCAATTAGTCCTTATGCTTCTTGAAAGAAGATACGTGGTTGCCTGTTTTGCTCCTTTGTTAGTGACAACAATCATCAGTGCTGAAATATGTTAGATCACAAAATAAATTTGTACCATTTTATGATGTTGGTTAATTTTACAAATAAAACATATTCTCATAATTAGGGATTACATGCATATGGAACTTTTTTGTCTTTTGTCATTTTATGAGGATGTCATAGTTTGAGCTTACAAATTTATTTTGATATTGCATCTGTATAGTGGGATTACACTGGGTAAGTTTTTCTTCTGTTTTGTTCTCTCTCTCTCTCTGAATCGTCCTAGAGAAGCATAAATATATCTTGAGTCTTGCAGTTTATTTAGAATTTAATTCACGCGTCCTTTAACTACAATCCATTTCACTTTTTGGTTTTGTACATTTCAGATATCTGCAGTTGCAAGAATCCGTAATGCCTTGGCTTATGCCACCCATACATTCTTTCAGAAGAATGGCTTTCTTTATATCCACACACCAATCATCACCACCAGTGATTGCGAGGGTGCTGGCGAGATGTTCCAGGTCACTACATTGATAAGTGAAGCTGAAAAATTGGAGAAGGAGCTGAAAGAGAATCCTGCTCCTTCAGATTCTGACATTAAGGTTGTTGAACAGCTTGTCAAAGAGAAAGGAGAGGCAGTTGCTAGGCTCAAAGCTGATAAGGCAAGTAGGGAAAAAGCTGGCTCCAACATTGCAGCCATAAATAAGCAGATCAGTGCTGCAGTCGGTGATCTCACAAGGGCTAAAGAGAATCTCCTGAAGTTGCAAGAGAGATTCAAATTGGGAGAGAGGGTAAAGCGCTCTGCTGGCATACCTAAAAAGGATGGAAACATTGATTACGCTGATGATTTCTTTGCACGTCAAGCCTTCTTGACAGTATCTGGTCAACTCCAAGTTGAAACATATGCATGTGCACTTTCTAGTGTCTACACTTTTGGGCCAACTTTTCGAGCTGAACAGTCCCACACTTCTAGGCATCTTGCAGAGTTCTGGATGGTGGAGCCTGAAATTGCTTTTGCTGATCTCAAGGTATCATGCATCACTTGCATCGTCTTCTCATCGAACTACTTCACAGCTACAAGAAGTTTTTGATACCAACAGAGATGTGGATTCAAGTTAAAAATGTGTGAACTTTGGTATCATAAATACTTTTCCTAGTCATAATCTGGATGTTATCTGCACATGGACGAAAATAGAGTAAAAAGCTTTTGCCAAATTCTACATCTACTTTGATAGAATTTATTGGGAATGAGTAGAGATTACCACTAGGTTGTTTGGTTTCTTGTCGCAAAAAGAAAATTACTCCATCCGTTCCAGTTTATGTGAACCTATTTCCTTTTTGGTCCGTTCCAAAAAGAATGACCCCTTTCTAAATTTGGTAACAATTTAGCTTAAACTTACAATTCTACCCTTAATGAGAAGTTTTTATAACCACACAAATACTCTGGGCCCCTTTTTCACTTGTTTAGGACCACAAATTCCAAAAGTCTATTTTTTTAAAACTCCGTGCCCAGTCAAACAAGTTCACATAAATTGAAATGGAGGGAGTACCATTTAGTGGTTTGTTTTCCATGATGAAAAGTTGATCAGTGCCTGAAACAATTTTTTATACCATTTTAACATATCTTCCGACTCCTTTTCTTCTGGACTTGAAGTGTATTCCTATGATGTTTTTGATTGGGCTATTTGTTTTGATTGGTTATCTGTATTCTTTGCTTTCCTTGATTCGCATTACTCACAATTTAATTTTTTTGTTTAGGATGATATGAACTGTGCTGAGGCATATGTGAAATTTCTCTGTCAGTGGTTGCTTGACCATTGTCTTGATGACATGGAATTTATCACTAAATTTATAGACAAAGGTGCTCTAGGTAGACTTAGAATGGTCACCTCATCCAAATTCCATCGCTTAACTTACACAGAAGCGATCGCCATTCTGGAAGAAGCATCCAAAACGAAGACATTTGAGAATAAAGTAGAATGGGGTATTGACTTGGCATCTGAACATGAAAGGTACTGTCTTATCCATTACTATAATATAATCAGTTGGATTGATATATTTCTGTACTATTCTGATTCCTGATTGGCTTGTTGCTAGATATTTGACCGAAGAGCATTTTAAATCACCTGTTATAGTGTTCAACTACCCAAAAGGCATCAAAGCATTTTACATGAAGGTGAATGAAGACAAGAAGACAGTTGCTGCGATGGATCTGCTTGTACCAAAGGTTTGCATATTCTGTTTGTAGCAATGGTGGACTACATACTCTAGTCTTAAATATAATGGTTTGTCACACCACCCACCTTGGGATAGGCTGCAATGTCAAATGAAATGGATGAATTAGTATTATTACATAGAAGCAAGAGTTGCTCAATCTTAATTTTTCTTCCACACAATTCAACACTTACTGTAATACTGGAAATCAGCACTTACTGTAATACTGGAAATGAAAACTTTTTGGCCACCATGGACTAAATTAAACAGACTGGACTTTTGCCTAAAATGATTTATATAGTGATAGCAATTGTGTACCTGACCAGCCCGCATGCCTTCAGCTTTACATGAAAGTTAAATATAACAAAAGGAAGAACAACTGCATTCTTTTAACAAAGAATCATATAAAACATCCAGCGGTGGTCTTTGGCATTGCATCCTCCGTCACCTTCTATTTTCAGATCGTGAGTACTGGCGACCCATATGAGTTACTCTATCTGCTGCCTAAATGCATGTCTGCATTCGTCTGCAGGTTGGAGAACTAATTGGAGGTAGCGAAAGGGAAGAGGATTATGAGGTTCTCAGATCAAGGTACTGTAAATTGGCAATATGTAAAGGATAATGTTTGTCTATTTGATCATTTAACTGATCTTTTGTCGATATAATATATTTCTTTGCAGGATATCGGATATGGGTCTGCCATTAGAGCCATACGAGTGGTATCTTGATTTGAGACGCTATGGTACTGTCAAACATAGTGGTTTTGGTTTAGGCTTTGAGCGGATGATTCTTTTCGCCACAGGGATGGAAAACATTCGAGATGTGATTCCCTTTCCCAGATATCCAGGAAGAGCCGATCTATAAATGTCAATGATAATTATGGATTCTCTGTCTTTGAAATTTATGATGCCAATTTTTTAACCTTGTAATTGTGAGTTGTGACTATGGATTGTTGAACATATTCAATTACAGAAATTTTTTATAAGGCTCTATAAGAGATAATCCTTATAGAGCCAGATTGTGTTTCGGTTCATCCACCACTTCAGGAGGGTCGTTTGGTTGAAAGACAAGTTATGTTGAGATTAGTTATTCTAGAATTATTTCTTATTGAAGGTTCAGTATTGTTGTATTAATCATGAGATTGTCAGTTTTAATACTATATATTGGGATAGATTATTTTGGGATTACTATTCCACCCTCTGACAGGTATAAGTTATCTGGTGCTATTTTTAATTCTAGGATAACTCATCTCACTATTGGTAACTAAACAAGGGATAAGGCGGTACTAAATTTTTATCTCAGGATTATTTTTTCTTATCCATTGTACCAAACGACCCTTAGTTGATTTTGTTGTCGCCTTGCTCAATGTGTTAGTTTTGATAGGAGTCTGATTCTTTGTTTTGACTTTTTAGATGGAGCAGCAATGATTGAAATAGAAGGTTGTGTACGATTAAAATAGGGCTTGCCCGATTTTGCCATTTAATCGAGACCAGGGAATCATGTCGAGGGTTCGCCTCGTAATGGATCAGGCCAGGGCACGAAGATAAGGTATCAAGCTCGAGAATCGAGGTGGTCATCGAGGTCAAGGCCAATAGCGATCGAGACCAAATATGACTGACTTCGAAAGATGCGCAATAACGGAAAGGTGAGATATTCGTAACCGGTCGAAGATCACAGCAGAAATCCCGGATCATATCAAATCAAGGGCGGTTATTTATGCCAATAATCTAATTTACTTTCGTAATTAGAATTGCACCATAGATAGGATTCCTCTACAATATGAAGAGGGTTCTGATCATTTTGTAATCACCGTACATTCACGAATATCAAATCAATATAACATTTTCCTAGCTTACATTCTTGTTCGTAAGCTTCTTGTATCTTTTACTATTTCGGCATTAATCTGTTCGAGAGCACACGAGCTCGAGAGCTTAATTACGTTGCAATACCAGTTTGCTTTGTTTTATTGTCAATTTTTATCATTTATCTTTACGTTTATCAATTGATATTAGGCGAAATCACACATTCTTAAAACCACATTATAAGTTTATTTGTTATCCAATTTTTAGGGCAAACGGTTTGGTGTCCACCGTGGGCTAAGGATAATAGTGATTGCCTAGTATTAATCCTTATAATACACACTGCTTTACAATTGTTCTCGTAAGTGTCTTTGATTTCAGGAATCAACATGTCAAACTCTCAAGTAGTGCCCACTCACACAGACACCGGCCTTGGTCTTCATGCCGAGAACGAGCACACAGTCGCCCAGGGAAACATAGTACCTCTAATCAATCCCAATGGACCACAGGCCATAGATCCATTCGATGTTAATTCTTGTGTTGCGGTTCATGAAAATTTAGGCGCCGACCCTGAAAATAGCATCTGCAGAGACGCCCGGGCAACCGATCAGAACGCACAGAGTGGTGAAGAAGGCGGGATTAGCCTTCGAATGATAATTGAAATGTTGCAAACTTAGTAAGTTGCGATAGCGCAGCTCCAAAATCAGAATCGAGCACCAAGCAGAATCAAACTCGATACATCACAGGAAGTTATTCACAGGGTCGAGCCTATACCGGAAAAATCAAACGATAACAGATCGGGAATTGACCCCGCCATCATGAAAATGCTCGAGGAGCTCACTAAACGGATCGAATCAGGAGAAAAGAAAATTGAGGCTAACGATAAAAAGATAGAAACATACAACTCACGGGCTGATCAAATACCGGGGGCACCCCCGATTTTAAAGGGTTTGGATTCGAAGAAGATCGTACAGAAGCCTTTCCCACCAAGTGCGGCTCCGAAGCCCATTCAGAAGAAATTCCGCATGCTAGAAATTTCCAAGTACAATGGAACCACCGATCCTAATGAGCATGTCACTTCTTATACATGCGTAATAAAAGGAAATGACTTAGAAGATGATGAAATTGAATCTGTTCTATTGAAAAAATTTGGAGAAACTTTATCGAAGGGGGCAATGATATGGTACCACAATTTGCTGCCCAATTCCATCGATTCCTTCGCCATGCTTGCTGATTCGTTCGTAAAGGCACACGCCGGAGCAATAAAGGTCACGGCTAGGAAATCAGACCTCTTCAAAGTGAGACAAAAGGACAACGAAATGCTAAGGGAATTCATATCTCGATTCCAGATGGAATGCATGGACCTACCCTTAGTCACCGATGATTGGGTTGTCCAAGCCTTCACTTAAGGTTTGAACGAGCGAAGTTCGATAGCATCACGACAACTTAAACAGAATTTGATTGAATATCCAGCTGTGATCTGGGCCGATGTACATAACCGATACTAGTCAAAGATCAGAGTCGAGGATGATCAGTTAGGATCCCCTTCCAGTTCCGTTTATCAAATAGATCGGAAGGCAGGATTCAAAGAGACATCGATAGAGAGCCCCGATCAAACAGATATCGGTACCAACCATACAATGCAGATCATAGAAACAGTGGACCAGGACGTAACCCCGTTTGAAATGATCGAAGGAATGATCGAGGAAAAAACACCCGAGGGCTCATGAGTAAGAGTGGCTTCGATATACATGTTGAGCCCAAGGAAGCGCCATGATTATCGGAATACAACGTCAATGTCTTTCCATAGGGTATTGTATTAACCATTGGACGGATCAAAGATACTAGATGGCCCAGAGCCTACAATCGGGCCCGGCTCAACGAAACCCTAATCAAATATGCAAATATCATGGAACCCATTGTCACAAAACCAAAGACCGCAAACAATTAAGGGAGGAGATAGCTCGTTTATTCAACAAAGGTTATCTTCGAGAGTTCTTGAGTGGCTGAGCTTAAAATCATTTCAGAGACAGGGATGCAAACAGGAAAAACGAACAGGAGGAATCACAACACGTGATTCATATGATCGTTGGTGGGGTCGATATTCCTCAGGGCCCGATATTTAAACGTACCAAAGTGACAATCACAAGGGAGAAGCGTACCTGGGACTACTTACTAGAAGATACCTTATCTTTCAACGATGAGGATGCAGAAGGGATCGAACAGCCTCACAACAATGCACTGGTAATATATATCCTTATGAATAAAATTCAAGTTAAACGTGTGTTGATTGATCCAGGTAGCTCGGCAAATACTATTCGATTGAGGGTCGTAGAGCAACTCGACCACCAGGATCAAATCGTGCCTGCAGCTCGAGTACTCAACGACTTCAACATGGCGAGTGAAACCACCGATGGGGAAATCATTTTGCCAGTAAACGTGGCCAGAACTATCCAGGAAACGAAGTACCATGTAATCAAAGGTGATATGATGTACAATGCGCTACTCGGAAGACCTTGGATCCATAATATGAGGGCAGTACCATCAACGCTTCATTTTGTCTTGAAATTCCCAACACCGGAAGGAATCAAAACGGTGTAAGGCGAACAACCACCAACTAAAGAGATGTTTGCAATTGATGAGGTAATACTAGCATCGACACTAATATCAATAAAGGGACCAGAATCAAAGGAAAAACAGGAAGTCAAATAGCAACCACAATCACCGACCTCGACCAGATCGGAACAACAGGAAACTTTCGAGGATGATGATTATATGATACCTCGAACCTTTGTAATCCCCGATGATTCCGATGCCACGAAGTCAACGGTTGAAGAGCTGGAACAAGTCATACTGATCGAGCATCTGTCCAATCGAAAGGTATACCTGGGCACAGGGTTAACTCCCGAGCTCAGGGAAAAAATCATTAAATTCCTTATTAAAAATATGGATTGTTTTGCTTGGTCCCACCTTGACATGACATGGATCCCATCGGAGATTACCACTCATCGATTGAGCTTGGACCCAAAGTTCAAACCGGTTAAAATAAAAGGCCACAATCTGAAGTAAAGCATGCATTCATCAAGGATGAGGTAACCAAACTTCTCAAAATAGGATCCATCCGGGAAGTAAAATATCCCGAATTGTTAGCAAACGTAGTTGTAGTCCCCAAGAAGGGGAATAAACTTAGAATGTGCATAGACTATAAAGACTTAAACAAAGCATGCACTAAAGACTCCTTTCCTTTGCCGAATATCGATCGCATGATCGATGCCACGGCCGGCCATGAGATCCTTAGCTTTCTCGAAGAATACTCCGGGTACAACCAAATATAAATGAGCCTGGAGGATCAGGAAAAGACTTCGTTCATTACTAAGTATGGTACTTATTTCTATAATGTAATGCCGTTTGGACTAAAAAATATTGTTGCTACTTATCAACGCCTAGTAAACTGAATGTTCGAAGAACAAATAGGTAAATCAATGGAGGTTTATATTGATGAAATGCTAGTTAAGTCCCTGCGCAGAGGACCATTTGACACATTTGCAGGAAACCTTCAACATATTAAGAAAATACAACATGAAGCTCAACCCCGAGAAATGTGCATTCGGGTCGGTTCAGGAAACTTCCTCGGCTTTATGGTGTCAAATCGGGAAATCGAGATCAACCTCAATAAAATCAAGGAGATCGAAGAAATCACAGTCGTGGACAGCATTACAACCGTACAAAGATTAGCAGGGCGGATAGCATCTTAGGTCAGTTCATCTCGAGGTCACAGGTTCTTCTCACTGCTCAAAAAGAAGAACAATTTCACTTGGACCCCGGAATACCAACAAGCGTTAGAAGAGTTAAAGCTTCGAACCCTCCATTGCTTCACACTACGAAAGCGGACGAGCAACTCTACTTATATTTGGCAGTATCGGAAGTTGCAGTAAGTGGTGTCCTAGTTCGAGAAGAGCAAGGTACGCAATTTCCTATTTACTATGTTAGCCGAACTTTAGGTGAAGCCGAGACCCGGTACCCACACTTAGAAAAATTAGCGCTTTCTGTAATAAGCGCCTCTAGGAAATTAAAACCGTATTTTAAATGTCACCCAATTTGTGTTGTAACCACTTACCCTCTTCGCAACATTTTGCACAAGCCCGAACTCTCAGGCCGACTGGCCAAATGGGCCATCGAAATCAGTGGGTATGATATTGAGTATCAACCCCGAATGGCCATCAAGTCCCAAACTTCATGGCCGACTTCACGGTAGCCATCATACCCGAGGTCGAAAAGGAAATTTTGTTAAAAACGGGTACGTCTTCGTGGGTGTGGACCCTTTTCATAGATAGAGCTTCAAATGTGAAGGGGTCCGACATCGTTTTGAAGCCACCCATAGGCAATAC